GGTAGCGCTGAGAACGATGCGGCTGCCATTCGCAGATGCCTTCGGTTCCGAAGTTAGGGGTGTAAAGCGTCCAAGACCACGTGGATGTAAGTGCGGGTTATCCAGTACATTTTTTAGGCTTCCGTGGCCTCTCCAAGTATGATCTTGATCAGAGTTGTTGAAGATACCGTTCTCACGAGATCGCGCGCCAAAGAGTCTTGGACCGTGAGCCTTAGAAATCCGATATTGCTGCTGCTGCCACTGCGGCGGCTGCTGCTGTTACTGCTACTACTCATATTGCAACTTGCAACAACAGTACTGGTCACCCTACTCCTGCTGCTATTGCTGCTGCTACTGTGACTGCTCCTCCGACTATTCTTGCCGCGGCCACTCGCTACCTCTACTGCAACTGCAGTTGCTGGGACAAGTACGGCTAATCTACTTCACAAGCCCAAACCCTAAAACCAAAGCCCTAAGCGGTGAGCTTGAGGCAGCACGTTCGCGAAGTGGCATCAGCTCGAAATCTGGGGCCAGGGGAGCCGCACCAGGCAATGGGTTGGGAGTACTGGATCAAAACAGATGGTCCAAGAAGTCTATATCATAGGTACAATACGTGCGTCTTTGGGATAGTAGGGGAGCTGTTGGGGCTTTGGGTTTTGATTTTGGTGTTAGCGGGCTGTAGGGTTCTAGGGTTTTGTGTTCAGGGCTGAGGGCGTCGGATGTCATGTAAAGGCTGAAGGATTTGGAATTCTGGGCCCTTGGGCTGTAGTGAGGGCCTGGTGACAAGATTCATTGTGGAGCTTGATAGGAGAGTATCGAAAAAGATTACATAAGTGTTCTGACGGATTCTGTCTGATTTTGTAGGGATTTGGTATGGTATAAGTTTTTTGGGCGCAAGAGGGTTTCTAGAGTTGAGTACTTTGACAGCCCAAATCATAAACTCTTCACATATGGGTTAGAGTGGGGTTATATAGGTAGTACACAGGGGCTACATATTTCAGGTTTAGAATTCAGGGGCTTCAGGGCTAATACTGGTAGCCCCGCTGCATAAGATTGGATTCTACTCAGGCAAAGGAGAGCAATATGATGCAATATGCATGGTAACCACAGCTTCAGCTGGAGGCGGAGGAGGATGACAGCATTGCGAGAGATAAGGAAAATCAAGGCTTACAACCAGGTAGCTTCCTATAGTTTCTCGTAGTTACTGCTTTCGCTAAAAACTAGCGTGTCGCAATATTCATCTAGGTAGTCGCAGTCAGCAGGATGTCATTCGTAGCATGTGAGCGATAGCGAACCCTTTGATTTCAAATGTACATGCTGCAGCGCATCTGGAGGGCTTCAATGGCGCATGCAAGCGAAGAAATGGAGCCCCTCAACAAGCCGCGAGTAGGGGCATAAGCACCCCTGAGCTCTATCACTGATTTCATGCTGCCCTCTTTAGGCGGTGGGCTCTTGGCATTGGGATACCTTGGGACCCCAGGGGAAGGTAGGGATTAGGTTTTAGGTTGTAGGGTAGATCGTGGGAGGTGATTGACACCTATCATAGACGATCATAGATGGCTACATACTGCAGGGTTTCACGGAAACCTTTTAATCCGCGATGCCCCGTCATCCTCCCTAGCACTCTCTATGTATCCGGAAGGTTCTCCAGTATCTACTCCCTTTCGATAAAGGGTGATGTCGAGAAACTGCCAGGTGAAACGTGTCTTATTTTGGGGATACTATAGCGCCGAGGGCCCAGAATATTAGCACTATAGTCTCCAATACATAGAGTAGGACTACATCCTCCTTTTTGGGGTACAATATTTCATATGAGAAACATATAGTCTTACGGGGTTCAAGCACCAGAAAAACACCCAAAACCTTCAGCCCAAAACCGTGCTACTCAGGTCACCTTGAAGATTCCAGAGGAGCCGCCCTCTTCCAGCACTAAGAGAGGTAAGGCAGACTTCACGGGCTCCTTGCTGGCAGCCTGATACCTCCAAAGGAGATTTTAAGGAGTGTATGATGGATATATAGGGGATATATTGGGACAATGGAAAAGAAATTCAGGTTCAGTTGGTTTTCCAAATGTTGACGAAACTTGTTTTGGGTCCTCATCATAAAGTATAGTGTTTTGGGGTTTTGTCAAAACTGCAGGTCCGTTTGGTTGTACGGGGCAATTAGTACCAAAGACACATGGGATCCGGACTTTGATGGATATCCCCATATCTTTAGCATCAGGCTTGTTTTGCATCTTAACTGTCTTGTGGGGAATTCGTTTTGGCAGCAGGGTGCAGAGGTTCAAGGGACTTTACTGGGAACCCCAAACAGGGAACCCCAAGAATATAGTAGAATATAATAGGAATGTACCTGCCAGGGTCCTTATATTCTCCATTATATTCCTACTATATTCTTGGGGTTCCCCCTAAACCCTAAACCCTGACCCTGTTTGGGGTTCCCAGTAAAGTCCCTTTAGAGGTGGGGGGTTCAGGCTCGAGAATCGGAGCCCGAGCTCCGAAAAAGGGGGAGGGACATGGTCCACGGGGTTTAAAGGCTTATAGTCCCCCCTTAGGTATATAGAAGACGGGTTTTAGAGTTTTGGGTTTAGGGTATAGTCCCCCTTAGGTATATAAAATTTGTGATTTAGGGTTTAGGGTTTAGTATAGTCCCCCTTAAGTAGATAGAATATGGGGTATGTGGGGATCTTATTATAATATACCCACAGCCATAGTCTATCTACTTAAGGGGGACTATAGGGCTTAGGGTCTATTAGCAAGCCTACAAACCCCAACCTGTGTCTCAGACCACTCTGCAGGCTCCTATCTTTGCTATGAGTTTGGCGAAGGTACACCTATAGGCTGTAGGATTCTTAGTAGGAATTATCATATTCCCCACACGCAATTCCGCATATACCCCCTCCGGGGTTCCTAAGGGCCCCTGGCTTTGGCAAACTCCCACTGGCTCAAATTGAAGTTACTGGTCAGCTCGAAGGTTTACAACACATGAGGAAATCCATCAGGAAAGGCCCCAGAGATGGGGGGTTCCCAAAACAGCCGGTAATCTTAGGGATCCTACGCATATGATGGGGATTGCTCAGTACCATTAATTCGAGAACCCCCGAATGTCGCTATGTTGAGAGCGGCAATTGGATGTTTGACGTGTTTTCCTTGGCACCGCATTCCCAAGGGACGCACACAAATGCCCCTTCCCCAGGCTTGGAGATCACCACCTGAATAAGAGAAAACCCTATACACCCTAATAAGGTAGCTGACGGGATGTTTCTCGAACATATGGCCAGCCGGACATTCTAGACCTTTCGCGAAAAGCACGAGCTGAGGGCAACCTGAAATTTCAGACCTCAAAACTGAAAGCGGAATAATCCCCTAGTCCCTGAAACCACCCGACCCTAACCCCAAAAAGTGAAACGGCCAAATCTGCACAGAGCTGTGAATTTGGAACTTAATGCTGGGGTCTTTGTGTAGCACATAGTCTACTTGGAAGGTGGTGCCGTAGAATCCTTGTAAAACCTCAAACATGCTACATGACTTTCCAGTTTGTCTTTTCACTGCAGATACTTACTAAGCACCCAACAGCCCGAGGCCCCAAAATTCCAGGTTCTTTTTCAGCCCATCCACTGAACACCCCAAAGACCCAACGCCCTAGACCGTAAACCCTAACCCTAAACCCTCGAACCTAACCCCTACACCCCAAATCCTAAGCCCCTAACCCTAAACCCTATACTCCAAACCCTGGACCTTATACTCTAAACCCTAAACCCTAAAACGAAACCTTCCTCTTTGCCAGCCAGGCTCGGAATCCGAGCCTCTAAACGTCTTAGGGAGGCCAGGATGGTATATGGCTTAGGGTTTAGAGTTTAGAGTCTAGGGTTTGGAGTTTGGGGTTTAGAGTTTAGGGTTTAGGGTTTAGGGTTTAGAGTATAGGGTTTAATTAGTGTTTAGATTTTCGGGTTTAGAGTTTAGGGTTTAGGGTTTAGAGTTTAGGGTTTAGGGCTTAGGGTTTAGAGTATAGGGTTTAATTAGTGTTTAGATTTTAGGGTTTAGGGTTTAGAGTTTAGGGTTTAGAATGTAGGGTTTAGGGTTCAGGGTTGAGGGCTCAGGTTTAGGGTGAGGGTTTATGGCTGTAGGATTTGAGGTGTGGGGGCTACGTAGGGTTTCGGACTTCGAGACTTAGGGTAGTCTTGGGCTTGCGGCTTCAGATTTTACAGCGTTAGGTTCTTAACTTAGGAAGGACACAGAGCTTAGGATCCAGGGTTTATGGAATCGGGGCCACAATTCACGTGAAACATGAGGATTTCCCAAACAGGTTTCCATGGAATCCGCCTACAAGCGTGCCTAGAAGCTGTGCCTATACCCTTAGGGTAGGATCCTCAAGCGAAACTGTGTGCCCCCCAACCTCCGTAAGCAGGGATTGGGTAGTCGGGAGTTAACCGCTCAATTTGTAAGGCTGAGGGTTTAAGATCTTGGGGGGATGAAGTGGTGGATATGTAGGATCGAGGGTAAGGCGTAGGTTGGTGTCTTTCTGGTTCCACAGAGGACCTAATTTGTTTATAGTTATGATGGGGTATGTAGAGGTTCACGAGGAGATTGTCGGAACTGTATGGGGATGTTCTGAAGTGACAGGGATTAGGATGCAAACCACAGTAAAGAGGCAGCAGACGCGTGATCGCGACCACATTCCGCACATCGACGCGAGTCAGCTTCTTCATGCGCTGAGCAGTGCATCTTGGATGAAAATAATGCGACGGCTTGGCATGCGAGCATTTCTTGACATTCGGGATTAGCCCCAATTCCACAGAATTACTTTCTCAGTCTTAAGTCTTACGACATTTCAGAAAGTGTCGCCAAAGTGGGAGATCTCTCGGTCTTTCCGTGGAGAGAAGCCAACATTAAAAGAGTGCACAGTAGTGGGACCTAGTATGGGTTGACGGCTTTTCGGCGACTCGCATTCTTATGCAAAATCTTCATCCAAAAGCCTCAAGCCCCAGACTCAAGGAAGATGACAAGCGCTTGAATGCCTACATGGCTTCCTATGTTAACGACGATGTAGACGACTTGGATCTCTTCATGAAGCCCATTGAGACGGAGTCAGAGCACCGAGCACGTCTCAGCCAAATGACCAGGCTTTAGGGGTAGAATATGGGAAAGATCTAAACTCCTAGTATCCCCCTTAATAATGGAGAATCAAATGGAAAATGAAATGGAAACTGCTATATATAGGGTTATGTAGGGGATCATATATGGGGCTTGGAGCTGTGGGCCGTTGGGGGCATGGGGCATAGCGGCGTCGGGTTTCCAGTAGCGGTTTGAGGTTGTACTACTTAGAGCTCAAGATTCATCTTAAGGATGTGGATTAAGGTCGGGCGGTTTAGAGCTTTGTGATTTTGTTTGTCGGATCTTTGGTTCAGCTGGCATGTGCAATTCGCGGCACCCGCTCACCCCCTCATGAGCCTGAAACAGGTTGGAAAGATTTGCAGACTGGCTTGAGTCGGCTCAATACGAGATGCTCATCGCTGGGGTGCTGTGCCCTTTGTTTGCAGGAGGTTAACCGCGTGGTTTTGCAAGTGTTCATTACGTGTCATTACGTAATTCTGGGCTGCCGGGGCTCTGTCACATGGCTGCGGGCTTTTGACCGTTGCAGCAGTAATCCTGTTTTGCTCCTGCGCAGTGCTTCCCTTGCCGCTATATATAGTAGCAGCAGGTCCACAGCCCTTTTAGCACTTAAGCAGGGAATGTATTTACGGGTTAGGGTTTGGGATCATGGTCTTCTTCTGGAGGTCCCTGGCGATTCTTGGTGCTAAGCCCCGAAGCTTGAGAACAATGAGTGGAATTTGCAGAGTGGAAGTCTCAGTCGTTTGTTGGGTTGATGCTGAAGGGATTTATGTGCCGTTGTCTGTTGAGATGTGCGTAGTTTGGGTTGCTAAGGTCTTGGGGTTGGGGGTTTCGGGGTTGAGATCAGGCTTTAGGGTGGCGGGGCGCGGGGCGTAGGGGTTATGCCTTTCGTGCTGTGGACAATTGGAGGCCAAAACCTAGGGTTTCCCCAAAAAGGCCATGTGTGGGGTATATGGGATAATTGGGATCATGCTGGGTGTAGGGATTAGGCCCTGGCACCCCTGTGCACTGAACTTTAGCACCCCTAAGCCCCAATCTGATCTGTGAACCCTGACTACCCGAACCCCTTGCTCCTAGACACCGAATAGGATGACGTATAAGATCAAGCGCACGCGGTGTATTTCGGAATATTTCACAACGAGCGCTCTGATAGAGACCCGCTGCGACAGCAGCACTCAAATGCACCGCCGGGGTGGTTTTATGTTTTCCCCTTTTTATGCAGAAGGAGATGTGTATTATCATGGGTCAGTCCTCCATGCTCAGGCGGTCTTATGCACCTGCTCAAAGTAAACAGACCTGTTCATGATGGCTGAGGTTTCAACGTCCTCTGGATGGCCTTGGAAGCCCAGGCTCTTCGTCGTACGGTAGCAGGGCTTCTGGTTCATCAGTTTAGTTTGAGGTTTGGAGCAAGAAAGTCTCACAAAATCACAGTTCTGATAGCCGACAGACGTGTTGCTCCAGCCGTTATTTTCGTATGATGTTTTATTCCAGGTAAATTTGTTTTCTCACTCACTTACATGATCTCACCCTACACGCTGGCGGCCATTTGCGCAACTGCCTACTCGATGGCGTGCCTACTGGTTTACTTTTGAGGTGATTCCTTCTCCATGCCACAGCCTCTGCAGCCACGACAGCCACACCTGCATTAGGCAGAAGCTGCAGCAACAACAAAAACAGCAGCAGCAAAAGCAAAAGCAACAACGACCAAAAGACAAATTGCCCTCCTCAACCTAGTCTACTTAACATAGCCTTCCTCGCGGCTGTTTGATGGAGAAGTGGGGACGGGACCCGAGTAGTAGTCCGTGTATGATCTCTTAGACCTTCTACCCCTTCCCACTAACGACCCTAGCCACTCAGCGAGAAAACTAAACTCAGCCCTGCAGAAGTTTCAATTTACTTCACCACTAGGTGCTAACAACTGTTTTCCCGAAGCCCTGAAGTAACGCAGCAGTGTCCACCGTTAGCTCCGTACAAGCTAGGTTAAGTTGTTTCTCATGATCTTCGCAGGTGGATGGCTATCGTTCTGGCCATGCCATTAAGGTTTTCCAGACGGAGGCCTTGGATCTTGTTCAAGCTACATAGGATTAGAGTCCATTCAGGGTCGAAGGGGTCTAGTGTGAAGGGGTTTACGCTTTAGTTGTTTACCTCGTAGGGCTAAGGGTTAAGGATTTAGGGGGCCCCGGCTTTGGGAACTTGTCATAGTTTCTCATGAAATCTTTCCTTGCTGCATGTGAATTGCATTGATCCATATCCGTTTCTTACAGTGTTGACCAAGATTTGCCTGGATCATGGACTGCTGTCACTGGAGGCCTGAAAGCTGAAACATCAGCTCTTTATAGGGCCTTGGGTTTGGAAAAATGAGTTGGGGAGTGGCAAAGATTATGGAAACTGCTGAATATCACTATGTCGTATCCCCCACCGGCAAGCTGAGGAAGAGGGAAACGTAAGGATCATCCGATTTCCATGATTCATTTTCCCGAACCCTTAAAGAATGCAATACAGTGGTCCTTTGGGCTCTCTTAAGGGGGGTTTAGTCAGGTTTGGGCTTTTACTGGACAGGGCTTTAGATGTGTTGTCATGAGCCATGGCATGGTAGGGGCCACCGCCACCGCCACTTGTTATGAGAAGCTAAAGAGTCCTGCTCACCCGCTAGATGGAACTTCATATGAGCCCAATGTTTCCTAGGAGAGGTGCACTTGGTCTGGAAAAGAAGTTGGGGAAATCCTCAAAATGAGCCGCAAACCTTCAGGTGATATCTGATGCGAGCTGGAAATCTTGGGAGCTGGTCTTTGCGTGCCTTTGTACACGATTTAGGGTCTAGATGAGGGGGTCGGAGTTTGGCAGTTTGCAGTTTAGTTATTGCTGGCCTTCTAGCCCTACATAGCTGTCCCTAGAACTCCCGTAACAACAGTTACAATAGTGACAGTAGAAATAATGGAAACTTACATTCCCGCGTTTCCCTCTTGGTGTGCAAGAGCTCAGGATTGGCGATGTGGCCTTCACCGTTTTCTTCGTGTTGGACGTCGTTGTCCGCATACTTGTTCTACGATGCAAATTTTGGGCAGTGCCCATGAACTATATTGACATCGCGGTGTCCATGACATCCCTTCTGGAGATTGTGCTTTTCTATGTGGCGTCAGCCAACTTGGCTGTGAACCCCATCCTTTTTCGACTCCTCCGCATTGGAAAGCTGGCTAGGGCAATCCGCATGATCACCATGAATCTCACCTTGACAAGAGTAGACCCTGCAAGTTTATTTTTTATGTTTTTGCTGCCGAGCTTCAAAGTGGTAGTAGAGTTGACTTCTTGCTCCCTGTGATGTGAGGAACAGCGTGTTGGCATCACTTCACCTGCTTATTCGCTGTCTAGCTGCCAGCACCAACATACTGTTCTGGACGTTCTGCTTGATCGCATTCTTCCAGTGTGTTTCTGGAATGGTTGCGAACACTCTCTGCCGGGACTTCATAAATGATGAGAGCCAGCCCATGCAAGTGCGGGAGGATGTCTTCAGATATTATGGCTGCCTGGCTTCTGCTTGAGGCTTTAACTTTCTTGGTGTGGCCCCGGCAACCGCAACATATTCCACTTTCTGCAAAATCGCGTGCGGGGAGATGTCAAGTGAGTGCATGGGTTGGTGAGACGTGAAGTATAGTATATTACAGTATAGTCTTAGGACCTCCTTGAGCGATGGAATAGAGCGGGCTTGTACCCGGATTTCAGAGCCTGAGGGATGCACGACAATTATAGCACAGCTGATAAGGAATCTGTTTATCCACTCTTTAATGCCCCTTGAAAGAAACGTGGGCTTCGTCAAACATGTTGTCCCTTTCTGAGCACCATAAAAGGACAATATGGGCCACATTCTACACGGGACCGAAAAGGTAACCGCAATAAGATCAATCTACCATTTAACTTAAATTGTGGTGCCATGATGACAGAGAAACCGTATTCTTCACTTTGTCTCTATGTTACGGTACTTCATTCAATTCAAGTTCATTTAGCCCCTATATGTATGAATGACCAGCCGTGCAGAACCACGTCGTCATCCAATCTAACCCAACAGCCAGTGAGCATTGGTTTAGGGCTTGCAGGGTTTTGAATTTTGGGTGTTGCCCGGACAATGACCCAGCCTGCGTCGCCACCATAACCCCCCATATCGTTCTCGTTGCAGGAGCATAGGGTGACCAGAGTATCCATGCCCAAACCTTGCTAACGTTTGTGTTCCAAAAGCATACGGTCAAAAGAGCATCCATGCCCAAGCCATATGGTTCCGTTCGTGTTCCACGAGCATACCGTCACCAGAGCATCCATGCCTCACCAGAATTCCGATCATGTTCCACGAGCGTGCGAATGCCAGAGCATCCATGCCCAAACCAGAAGAACCGTCGTGTTAGGAAGTTCACGCTTGTCCAAAGGGCCGTTCAGGACCAGGACGGTCCACTGTAAACTGTTTCCTTGCTGCGCGCCTTACGCGGCCAGGTGGACTGCATGCTGTCTTGGGAACCATGCGCCTCTACAGGCTGTCCGGTGTCTCGAGCGGCTTTGCTCCTTTTGCGATATTTTGCGCGCTGACTGCTTAAACAGCTGGTTGAAGTCGGCGAGCTGAGAAAAAGAGTGCTGCCGCTGCCAGGTGCAGAGGGTTCTGATACTGTTATAGGTTTATGACCTGGCGGGGCCACAGCGGACCCACCTCTCCACTTGCGTGCGCCAGCAAACCTGGTAAGAGGCACTTAGTCTCTACCGCTTCGAGAGAGTTGATCAACGTGAAAATGGCATCTGCTGTACGCAATGCCTACTAACCCCGCAGCAGGTCATGACGAGCGGAGGGCAACAACTTACATGGAAACAGTCTTTTGCGATTCTCTGCCCACATTGCAGGTCTGCACAGAGTGCCGGCTGCATTTGTACGGCACCAAGCCAACTGATGTTCGTCCAGATCGCTGGGGAACAGACCAAAACTTGTCCAGCGCTCCCGCAGCCGAATGCCCGTAGAGACGCAACAGCAACACAGCTGTGGTGGCTTGCGCTAGTTGCCACCGCAGAGAAGGAGTTTTCACGTTCGAGCCAAGCACTGCAAGTGAAAATAATGTAGTCTATTTTTGCTTGTTAACATGCCCGAGCGTGTGCTACAGGCGTCCTGCAGTTATAGTACATGCAAAAATGCGAAACGTCATCTGTGGTTGTGAGCCAAATCGGGCCAAAACCTACTTAAAGAAGTAAGAAGCTTTCTAAGTCACTTCCCCTGTGTCGTATGTCAAGTTCTCTGGTGTGTCCTTCAAGAAATGGAATCTATGAAATCTTGACGTTACTAACCACCCCCTCCCCCCTCACCCCCTACCCCCCTCACCCCCTACCCCCCCAAAGCCCGAACCGGCACGTGCAGCAGAATGACCTGAGCGCAAACACACCAAAAATCGGTGGGTCCACAACAGCTCTGCTTAGATTTATGCAGACAATGTGTGGATGATTTCCCTTGTACATACGATGTAGAAAGCCGCGATTCGCCAAGTACCGCCATGTGGTCGCGGCGGGGGCCACCACGCTGTCGGCACTCACGTGCCACTTGTAGGGGTGGTGTAGGGGAGGTAGGTGTGGTTCAGGCTGCAAGAGGAAGGCTTCTGATGATCGCCATTGCAATTTTGTTATGCCCAGCAGTAGCAACACACACGGCGCCTGTTGTCAATGACCCCGTACCCGTGATATGCGCTGTTTGTGAGAGTGACTTCCTTGTGAATGGGATTGCTGTGCCTAGTCGCGACGTACAATTCTCTAATTTCACAATGCAAAGCACTGTCACAAGAAAAACTGATTTTGACCCTACTTTATTGCACTCAGTAGCTCTCCAATCGAAGCATGGGAGTTTCAAAGCTGCAGTGTTGCAATTGATCTCATGGCTTGCCCAGACAATGATTATGGCATGGAACTTGCTGTGGAGTTCTCATGGCACCAAAGATGCTTGCAAGCATAGGCAGAGTCCTGTCGTCCAGATCTGCCGTGCCCGTTTTGTTGGAAACAGAAGAGTGAAGACTGCCCGCAGGTTTTGGGTTGATGTGATGCTCCGTGCTTTGCATCTCCAAGTCAAAATGATTGCGGAGCAGATGCAGGAACAGTCTCCTGAGTCAGAAAGTAAGCTGTACAAGAGTTTTGTTTACAGAGGTGGAGGTAAAAAGCCTTACACAAGCAAACAAAAAGAGCAGATCAAGATCATTTATGATGGTCTACGAAAATTGCTTCAATATGTAGAGGAGGAAGCAGACACCGAGTCTGAAACTGAGCCTCCTAGCCCTGAGGAACAGCTCTTTGCGTCACTCCAAAACATTGTCCGCCAAGCGCAGGTTAATGGTACGAGTGGCTTAATCCAGAAGCTGAAAGCTCTCGTTACCTGGTTTGAACAGGAGCCGCGTCAAGAAAGCAACCGTACCAACAGGCGAGTCTCGTTTGATGAGGCGGTGCAAGCGCCCAACAACAAGCAGTCTGTTGCTGAGTCTCCCGGTTTGCGTAGCGTTTTGGTTGAGAGCCCTTCTCAATCTGCGCCCCCCGAAGCCCCTACCAAAGGCCCGAAAACCAAGGATGCCCCCAGGCGTCCTGTGCCTGTGATAGCGGGCAAACTGTGTTCAAAGTGGCGTGAAAACTAAGAGATCACGCTAGATCCAAACCTCAATCAATGAGGGTTCGGGGCCAAGTGGAAAGAGTTGCTTGGCAACTGCGCGCAAAGCAGCTGAGCTGGTCATGTTGGCCAAGACCCATAGCCTCAAGGCTAAATGCGCGTTAATCCTGCCTGCTCACTGCAAGGAGGATCTTGATGACAGCCTGTCCGCGACACACAACTGGGTCCAGGTTGTTGGCAAAGGATGGATCAAATGCGCAGTGGTTCCGCTTACCTCTAGCAGACTTCCTGCGTGGCCGTCCAGCCCCTCACAAGTCAAGGTTGATTAAAAGGACACTGTCAGCGCTCCCGAGCAGGTGACAGTGCGCATCACTATCCCAAGTGTTTTGCAAATGCAGATGTCTGGCAAGATATGCTAAAGAAACCAAACAAAGTTTTGGGTTTCTTCCTGTTGGGGCCTACGCCAGGTCCTACGGTTGGAAGGTCAAAGAGGATGAACACGACAGTCTTCTTGTGGGATATCTCAAGATTCCCCAGGATCACGTCAAGTCACTCCTTGAGGTTAGTGGTTCTTGGGGATGTTTCTTTAATCAGATTTCTCCCGCACTGCAAAAGGAACCACCCGTGTCATGGATCAAACCCTCGAAGAAGGATTTAGATCCCAGAGCATACTTGAAAGAAGCCCTTGCTAAAGCCAACGAAACAAAACCGTGTCTCGCCTTCAGGACTGGAGGTGGCAATAGCCTCTTACGCGGTGTGGCCCCTAACGAGGATGGACCGCGACGCTGAAGCATGCAGTCAGTACCCAAGCATTGGGGACCTGACACGGTCAAGCAGTTTCTTGCAAAACAGGGATGGAGTGACATCGATCAGCTACAGTCCCCGAAGTACAAATCAGGGAGGTGGACCGTACTTGCCACCCCGCCTCAGCAGTACAGGTCGCAGAATAAGCTTATCTACACGATAGGCACAGTTGACATGATAATTTCCTTGTGGAAAAAAGCCCCAAGATCATTTCAGGAAGAGCGCTTGTCCTTTACACAGGTTCGAGAGCTCTAAAGCACCAGAGCCGGATGCTGAAATGAAACCCCGCGAGAGTGAAGAAGCGCACAGCGAGGTGCCCGCCACTGCGATTGATTCGTCGCAGGATGCTGAAGCTTCTAAGCACAAGCGTAAACAGGAGTCACCAACTAAGAAGGTTAAAAGCCCTCCTATCGGTAGTGCCCCAGGAGATCTTCGGTCCTCACCCGTTAAGCCTCCCCCTAAGAAAACCCGTGAAGACACCCCATCTGATGGCCTGTTGGGGTTAAATGGTGGGATCTAGGAGGGGAAGGCCAGTGCGGTCTTCGCATGATTGCTGGCTACCAAGCCCTGCGTAATGGTAAAGCTAAGGAACAGATGGCTGAGAAGGCGTCCGCCCTATCACTTTCCCTTAGGACAAAAATCGCAAAATTTCTCGCAGCTGACAAGGAGTTTCAACAAACATGGTTTGCAGATGCTGGGGCCACTGTGGATACTGAAGCCGGCAACCCAGCAACCACGTGGCAAGAGTACATCGAAACTGCCAAACGTCCTCACAAATGGACAGACAGCTGGATGATACAGGCTGCCGCAGTCCTTCTCAAAACAGAGATTCACGTACTCAAATGGTGTAGCAGAACTCCGGGTAGCCCTGCTGAGTGGGTTTACCTTGACGTATGCCGTCCTCATCAGAAGTCCAAAGCCGTTTCCATAGTGCTGTGTCTCAAGGATGGGCATTTCACAGGAGTCGACCCGGACTCCGTCCTGCCAGTATACATGTGTGTGAGGAAGAGCCACTTTCTCAACAGCTTGAGAAAGCCGCGTCAGAATACCGAGGATCTGGAAAAGCCAACAGCTCGTGTTCCAGTTGGTTTCAATGCCCAAAATCACC